TACTATAAGGGAAGACTGTTTCACAAAATACAACATCCCTTGAAATCAGCAAACTCCTAGAATCAAGATCATAGAGTTGATATCCTTTCTTTCCACTAACATACCCAAGAAATATGCATCTCAAACCTCTCTTATCAAACTTTGTTTTCTTGGGATCCACATTAGCTGCATATGCTAGGCATCCAAAGGTTTTTAGTGAAAGGTAATCTGGAATTCTACCATACAACCTTTCAAAAGGTGACTTCCATCCCAGTATAGCACTTGGCAGCCTATTTATGATATATGCTGCTGTTAGAATAGAAAATGGCCAGAAACTTAAAGGCAGGCTGCTTTGGAACATTAGTGCTCTTCCTATATTCAATAAGTGCCTATGCTTTCTCTCCACCACCCCATTCTGCTGAGGAGTATAAGTGCAGCTTGTTTCATGTATGATCCCTCTTTCATTAAAGAATAGCTGCAAATCATTACTCAAAAACTCTTGTCCATTATCAGTCCTTATCTTCTTAACTGCTATTTCAAACTGTGTTTCAATCATAGCAACAAACCTTTTGACCATTCCAATGGTTTGTGACTTGCTGCTCATCAGATATACCCAAGTCCCTCGGCTGAAATCATCTACTAAAGTGAGGAAGAAAGGTGTATTTGTCAAAGTAGCTCCATGACAAGGTCCCCAGATATCTATATGTACCATATCAAAAATCCTTTTTGAATGAATTTCACTGTGCTGAAAAGGCAATCGATGCTGTTTAGATTTGAAACACACATTACAGTCTTGAATCAAAGTTTCATCATTCTTATTACAGATTTCCTTCAAAAAACTAAAATGCTTCATAGTTGATATAGAAGGGTGTCCCAGCTTCTTATGCCAGCCTTCCACAGTCAGGTTGCAATGTGCTTGCTGAGGTTGCTTTCCTTCTCCATATTTTTCTTGAAAGACATATAAGTTCCCTTTAAGTCTTCCAACACCAAGCAATTTATCACTCCTCTGGTCCTGCAAATAGCACTCTGAAGGAGTGAAAGTCCATTTCAAATTGTCATGTGTGCACATCTGATTGACTGAAAGCAGGTTATATTTGAAAGATGGCACAAACAATACATCCTTCAAAATGATGTTACTGCTCAATGCTACCATTCCTTTGTTAACCACCTTCTTCAAGGTTCCATCAGGTAAACATATATTCACTGAGTCATTAAGTGGCTGCAAATTGCTAATTAACTTCCTGTCTGAGCAGATATGCCTACTAGCACCAGTGTCAATAATCCACTCTCCTGCCATGTCATTGTTAAGAGCAGATAATGCAAAATGAGGGTCATCTTTCTTATCCTTACCTGCAAAATTTACAAATTGTGCATAATCCATATTGTTCTCCATGCTTTCCTTTCCTTTGATGTACTGAGTGAGTTCATTCAATTGCTGGACTATTGAATTGAGATCTGGAAGCTCAGCTGGTTTGTCATTCATCTTCCTTTTATGATCAAGTGTCTCACTCCCCACCTCTACACTGTTGGCATAGGACCTCCCTTGCTGTTGTTTAAGCTCCTTGTACCACTCTGGTATTCCATGGACCTTGAAACAGGTAGATACATTGTGTCCATTCATTCCACATTTTTCACATATAAGTTTTGCCTTTTCTTCCTTTGTGAGCCTGGGACCACCTCTGCCCCTTCCAAATCCCCATTGTGCTCCTCCTCTTCCTCCCATAAAGTTCCCTTTACCATAACCATCTGTTCTTGCTGCCAATATTGTGTTCTCCATTCTCTCACTGTACAAGTTCTGGACAGATTTCTGTCTTTCTGCTGTGAGAGTCATTGAGTAGGCTTTATTCACAGAGGGTAGTGGATCCAGCAACATGATTTGATTCTTCAGGTTGTCATAGCCATCATTGAGTCCCATGAGGAATTGAATCAGTTTGGTCTCAGCTTCATGTTGAGCCACTTGTTTCCCTTTTTCACAATCACAAACCCTCACAGGTGCAATGCAGGCATACTCATCCCACAATTTCTTAAGTTTGTTAAAATATTCCATAACCGTATCATTTCCTTGACTCAAGCTATTTATCTCCCTCTGTAATTTGTACTTCATAGGCCCGTTATTTTCCCCATATCTCTGACAAATATCATCCCACAGATCCTTGGCAGATTCCGCATACATAAAGGACTCAGCAATGTCCTTAGATAGAGAATTCAATATCCAAGAGAGAACAGTCCAATCAACCTTTTTCCAAACAATATACATATCATCCCTTTCATCTGGTTTCTCGATTTCACCATTGATAAAGCCAATTTTCGTTTTAGCATTGAGAGCAATAATCATCGATCGCTTCCATGGCAGAAAATTGTTTCCAGCTAAAGGAGTAGTAACGAGAACCATACCAGGATTGTCTGAGCTATGTAAAAACAACGGATCCTGTTCTGAAAGCCTCGAACCAGATGCTGTGTTGGTGTTGAGCAGCGGCCAAGCCTCATTTTTCCGAAACGCCATGGTTGAGCTAGCTCGAAACTCTGGAGAATAAAATTGCAGCTTGATGCAGGTGATCCTCAACGTAGAACCCTAGATCGGATCTCAGATCGACAAACTTAAGCTTTCTCGGCGCCAGAATCAACCGCTCTAGATACCATGTTGAAATCAAATTTATGAGCTAAGATATTTCTGAATGTTTTCTCAATTTCAATTAGCCAAATCAAAAAGAGCATTTACAGGGAAGACCCTTATATAGGCCCCATGCACCGTACAACCATGCAGCACCAAAACGGCACCGTTTTGGTGTAAGAAGAAAAACGTACCCAACTAAAAGAGTCGCAACACGCGTTTAAGTAAAAGACTTAAAAGAAAATAAAGGAAACAGAAAATAACAGAACCGAAAACAAACTAAGCCTTCAAACTGCAAGTAGCTCCTTGATCATGATGCACAATTCCAACACTGGTTATCTTGCTCTTTAGTTGAATGAGGCTTAGAGTTGTCATCATGTTCCAGGCGATGGTGGTTCTGTCATAAGCATGTCATTTATTCAAAATATAAGAAAATGCCAGTGGTAAACATATAAAGCATCAAAAAAAGAGAACCTGAGTAACATAATGGATGTTCTTATCCGTGTGTTTCTCCAAGAAATGGATGACAAAGAGAGCATAGTTATTTAGAGGAAGACATCATATGAGCGTGTTAAATAGGTGAAACTCTCAACAATTGAGTGTTAACACTTACAGATGTAATACTATGCTTCGGATCTTGGTATTGGTGACAAAAATAGGCCAGAACCAGATTTTGTCATATTTTCATCGTCAATGTACTAATTTATCCTTCCTAAGTGGAGAAATTAGTGGTAGATAGGGCCATGAGGCAATATAAAAGATTGTAAACTGTTACATTCTACTCAACACTGATCGTACACTTCAATAATAAATGGAAAGAAACAGAAGCAATAGATACCAAATGTCTACATGTTGACAGTACACTGAACGAGTAAAAATATTTCCTAGATAAACCATTTCATCTCCTACAAGCACTTACTTGGGGCCATTAAACCCAATCTTAGTACCCAGACTACTATTGACTTTCAATATGACAAGTTTGTCGAAAAGCTGCTTGATTTCCGAGATATCTGTAGAAAATTGAAGATAAACTAACATGAAGAGACACAATTTTTCACGACGAAGAGAACAAAACAGCATGAATACCACAAGTGAACGTACCCTCGGGAGATGCTTGTAAACTTTCATAAGGGAAAACAAACTTTTTGGATGTCTTATCTCGTTCAGCATCTTCTCTGTTGCAAACAATTTCCAGATGAACAAAGAAGTGCCAACAGAAAGTGAACTTTGGAAAGTATATATATAAAAGAACATGTTTTTTTTAGTCAAGTGTGTAAATTGGTATTGCTAAATTATAAAAAAATTATCTTAACCTGGATTCTTTAAGAAGCAAAGAAAAAGCTTGATCCAATGACCAGATGTAGACATTCTTATCAAATTATACTTTTCATGGCAATGAGACACACACAAAAACAAGAACACCATTTTCCGCCAGCAGATGACAAAATGAAGGCGTCCTCCAAAGTCAGATGTAGTACATAATTGTAATTTGTAATATAGAATGTTTGCCAAAGGCCGTAATCTTAATGAAGATATATATAGTCTAATACAGGAACTCGACAAGAACTGCATTTTATCATAATCAATTTTTTATCATCATCATCAATTAGGAAAATAAAACGTAACTGGTAATGAGGCTACATTTCTCATACCCTGCTATCAACTTCGTATCCTTCTCCACAGCAGCTTCCTTCTGCTCCTTCAATATTGTCTTGGTGATCAAATTACAGAACAAATACACAAACTCTACTGAGTCATTAGCCGGCACCGGATACGTTATTTTCTAGTAAGTCTCCCATGGCATGCTAGAGTCCACCAGCCCGACCATGGGGATCTGCAGCCTGTGCGCCTCCTGAATCACTAAGCTCTTCCTCTCCGTGTCGAAGATCACAATACAGTCTGGGGCCCTGACCGCGCTGAGGTTGAACTTCTTGTTCCTACCCCGAAACTTCCTTGGGCTCGAACTGTTGGTCAGAAAGCCCCCGAGCCGCCACGTGGGGTCGTTCTTGATCCCGACGGCCTGGGTCATCTGCGAGATGATCTCGTCGAACAGCGAGTTGGTGTTCACAAACAGGAAGCGCGCATCGTTGCGGGCGAGGTGGCCGATGAAGTTGCAGGCGTTGCGCAGGCAGATGAGGGTCTTGTCGGAGTCGATTACGCTGACGGAGTTCCGGGTGCCCTCGGAGAAGATCTTAAAGTGGTGGGCAGTCACGCGCCGGCCGATATGGGCGTTCGCGCTGAGGAGCTTCTGGATTACGGCGGAGTGGAACGACATTGTGCTAGAGTATTTTGGGGAGGGATTTTGGTCGAAATGAAAATAAATTCAGATGGTGAGCTGAGCTCTAGACGGCCATTAATGTTAGCAGCGAGATTAGGCGGGTTAATGGCGGAGAGTTGGGCTCCGGGAAATTGAGCAGCGGCCGGCAGGGTTTAAGGTGGGCAGTGATTGGGGAAATGTCGGGTAGGGTAAAAAAACTTTAATCTTGATTAGTATAATGGAATGAACTATCATAGGAATGAAATGAATTGAAAAACGGAAACATTATGGGAATGGAATGAAACAAGTTTTATTATTATGAATGGAATGACATTATTATTTTTTATTATAAACATAAATAAAAGTATTTTTTTTAAAATAATATATTTTTGATAAATTTATATGAATGCTTTTTTTAATAATATATAAAAATAAAATAATATTGTTTTTAATAACATATAAAAATAAAATAATATATTTTTTAAGATTATATAAAAATTAAATAATATATTTTTCAATTATATATAATAAATAATATATTCTTAAAAGTAATATATTTTTAATATATAAAAAATAATATATTTTTAATTATATATAAAAATAAAAGTATTATATTTATAATAATATATATTTTTAATATTTTTTAATAATATATTTTTCAAAGTAATATATTTTTAATTATATAAAATAAAATATGTTTTCAAATTATATATAAATGCTTTTTTTAGTAAAGAAAAGTAAGTTTTCAATATTTTTATTTGAATTTTATTTTTTAAAATAATTTTATTTAATATACTTTAATCATTATTTATAATATATATTATACATTCATTTTTAATTATTATTTGTTAATTTTATTTTTTGAAAAATTGATTCCTACATACATGGGAGTGAGGAAACATTCCACGAATTATGAAATGGCTAATCCCATGGAGATGGGTTTTGTCATTCCATCGGAATGGTCATTCATTTCCAAAAAAAATATATCAATCATGGGATAAGGAATGAGTAAGAGAATGATCATTCCATTCTCATGTTATTCCCTCATACCAATTATGTCATTAAGGTATGAGTTAGCTTATAAGTTCTTTGTATTCAAATAAGTCTGCTCAGAGACAAAGCTCGGGGCAGCACTCGGAAAGGCTTCTCATATGGACACAACCACATCTCGGGATGGGACTGGTCGTCAACCAAGGGCTTCGTTTTTTGCCGACGCCTAGGAACATGTCAATTACATCGAAGAGTAAGTAAGTAGGAGTGGGAGCCAATAGGACGAGTTTTTCTAACAAGCTCGAATTTACACCATAAGCTGCTTTAGGTAGCTTTTCAAATAAGGTAGCTGAATTTTTTATTCAGCTAGTTTATCAGCTAATTTTACCCAACACTTTTATCATATGAGCTAGTTTTCCAGCTATAAGTCATAAGTTATAATCTATAAGCTCAAAAATTAGATATATGTTATAAGCTAACTTATCAACTATCAGCTAGTTTTACCAAAAAGGCAAAAACATAGCTAATGTATGCTAACTTATTTGTCTACCAAACATAGTATAAAGAGTATTATAATTTAAAGTTATATATAAATAAAAGAGTTAAAATAAATAGAAAAGTCTAATCTCTCTCTATATAACTAGTACGTAACTCTTGCAATCCACATCTGTATTTATTTAAAAAAATATATATAAATTGAAGGTTATTAGTAAATAAATTATAATAAGTAGGTCATTTGTAAGGAATCATAAATTCTCGTTGGTAAAACAAGAACTTTATTTAAATATATAATTTAGTTGGTATGGATCACAGTTGAATAGAAAATCGAATATGATGGCTTTAATTAGAAAAATTGTTACTATGATTAGTAGACGTTGTATTTTTTTTTTTTTATTCGCTTAGTCTAATTTTACGACTAATCTTATTCCAATCATTGGAACAAATTTGAAATGTATTCTTTAAAGTAATTTTGTTACGTTAATAAAATCATTACGTTCAAATAAAAAAGTTTATGTATGATTTACTATTACAAAAAAGGTAACAAATTTATCTTTTTTATTATAGCATCCTTATTTGTAATTCAATTAATATGAAGAACCGTGTGTGAACAAATTATTATTACAAAAAATTAACAAAAATACTCATAAAATTTGATTTTGTATCTATCTAAAATGTTTCACCACAAAAACCGTGATATGAATTACTCAAAATGTTAAATATTAGTAGCAAATAGTCTATTATGGCAATAATATGAAATAATAATATAAAAAAAGATTTATTTATATAAATAGAGGAACATGTTGATCAAATTTATTTAAGGCAAAATTCATATCATTAACAATGAATTTGTGTACACCAGTTTTTTATAATAAAAAATCGAAATATACAAACAAACTGAGATTTTAATATATCTAAAAGAGCCATATATTATATACAACAATAACATGTTACCATAAGGAAACAGTTACCCTCAAAAAAGGATTTTGACAAAAGTAAGTAGAAACTCATTTATTTTTTATTTTATTTTTTCTAAGGATTCTCTCTCCAATGCAATTATTATTTTTATTTTTATTTTTTTTTTGTATTAAAAACGTGGGTGATGTACACCGTGCATACCGAGAGACCAATGTTGTGGCCGATTATCTTGCGATGTTGGCGGCAAGAGGGCCGTGTGGACTATTCCGACTAGACAGCCCTCCGCCGGGGGCTGGACTTTGGCTCCACCATGATAGGATGGGGGTGGCTTCTCCGCGTTCGATTCCTCCCTAGGCTTTCGTAGTCTCCCTTATTGTACCAAAAAAAAAAAAACGTGGGTGATGTTTCTTTTTTAGAAGGTCATTAATTAATTTGGAGGGAAAATTATTACTAAAATTGATTTAACCATATTCTTATTTATATATATAGATTTTTGTATGTGTGAAACTAAAGTGTCAGGCTCGCATGTTTCGAAATCTTATGTGTCAAAGTTTTATGCTTTGTCGAGTTGGCTTGGATGAATTTAAATTTAAATTTTTGTCATATATATATAGAAGATCGTAGCAGGTTAGCTACGAAATTATAGAAGATCTCCTTTAAAATCAAACAAGTCCATCGAATTACAAGCGGGCAACTTACTTCTACCTATCTCGTCTTCTTATATAGTTGATGGACTTTGTTTCATCATATATATGTTCACTTTTTATCCTAAAGTATTTATAGAAATCGTAGCAGGTTAGCTAGAATTTTTTCTTCCAATTAATCAGGCGAAATCAAGTTGGTGAATTAATCTTTGCCAATTTTTCTTAAGCTTTATTTCGTTATATATATGAAAAAAATAAACTATCCTTCAAATTAATATAATTTACCATTTAAGAGATAATGACCAGATACATTAAATAATTTTACTAATGATTAAAAATTAAAAATTTAATATATTAATTGTTCTTTAGAGTTTATTCGTACATTATTGACAACCATAATTATTTTCTTTTATAATTTTTTGTTTTTGATTTATTTCTATAATTAAATTCTTGTAAAATATATTTTCATTGCAGAGTATGCTAAATAAACTATAAATCATTATAATTCAAATTAGAAAATTCTTGATTACAGAAGGATTGTGTTTTTTACATTTGCTAACAAAATTAAATTCTTAAAAACATGTATTTTATAAAATATTTATACAATATTTAATTTTAAATTTATTTATATATTTTAAATTGATTACATAAATAAATAATACTAACGTACATTAAATATTTTTCGTTACGTAAAATAAAAAGAAAAAAAAAACGTACAACTTCTATAACTTTTAATAGTAATGCATTATATGACAACAAAATTTATAATAAAATAAAAATTAAATATTATATGGTGAACAAGAATAACTAAAACTATTATTTTTTCTCATACCAAGGAATAAATATATATACTAAAATCAAATTTCAATGAGTACAAATGTGTTAGTGAGATAATATATTAATTATTTTACAAGCTAGCTGTAACATGCTCATATTTAATGTTCTGGCTAAAAAAATAACGCTGATTAAAATATGTAAAAAATAGATTATAACTCTATTGTTTTTTGGACTTAAGACGCTGATTAAAAGTGGTGAAAATAGATGATAATCCTATTGTTCTTTAGATATAAACATACAAAGACTGTGAAAATAACTCATTTAATATCTTTGTTGCGTGCATCGCACGGGCTACATACTAGTTAGGTTGAAATAACCATGATATATTAGATATTTATGTTTTTTAAGAACATTAATTATGTTAAATTTCATATTCTTGACTTGATTTTTAATTAAGGAATAATATTTTTTTCCCCATCTTTCTTTATTCATCATCTCTCTTTTAAAATTATAAAAATAATTGCCAACTTAAATTATAATTAAATTTAAAGTTAATAATTGTTTTATTATTTACCATCAATTTTTGACACATAATATATCAAATTAGTCTTCTCTTATTGAGCTACGATTTGACACATATATTGTACATACAAAATAAATAAATAAATAATTATATTTATATTTATAATAAAGATTAAACTACCTAGTATTAATTAAAAATAAAATTATTTAAACCATTTTAACTACAAAGTTGTTAAATGATATAATTTTTCATTATAAAATATATGGTAAGTCGTATAATTGATAAGTGTTATTTTATATATAAATAGTAATATAGTCATTCAAAAAATTATTTGGAAACTAAAATAATGCTTTACTATTATTTTATATTTTAAATAGAAATTTTTAAACAAGCACCCGTGTAATACAATGATTACAAATAATTTAACGTATTCCGAGAAGTACATGATTTTAAAAAATCAACTTTTATTTAGAGATGAATTTCGTTCCACCTCCTAGGATAGGTACCAATTTGTCAATACGGGGAGAGAGAACGAGAGAGTAATGTAGTAGTTTATACAATGATTAAAAAAATATCAAGAATTCTAATGACACAGTTGGTTATTTCATAGAGATATTTATGAAATATTAGAAATACCTTATAATGCTCATTCAGTTGTGAATTTTGAC